CATCCTGTCAAACATGACGTGTGCACAGAGCTTTAAAACAAAGAAACATGACAGCTCCCGGCCACGAAGTGCTTACACACCAAATAGCTATGACAAAACAAGGGCGTGACCATCAGCAAAAGGCGGGCGGGGGGGGGGAGGAACAATGAAAGAATAAAGGTTACAACAGTGAGGAAGTCTGAGATAATCATGCTGTGTTTGTGCCCTAGTTCAGTAAATAAATTAATGGAGATATCCTATCTCCTAGAGATGGAAGGGACCTTGTTGAGTCCAGCCCCCTGCCTTCACTAGCAGGACCAAGTACTGGTTTTGCCCCAGATCCCTAAGTGGCCCCCTCAAGGATTGAACTCATAACCCTGGGTTTAGCAGGCCAATGCTCAAACCACTGAGCTATCCCTCCCCCCTAAATTGACCAGAGTTCATCTCTTCATAACTCATTTCCTCCTCCATGTAAGGCTGCAGCTTTTCAACTTGCCTATCTGCACTGACTCTTACTGTGCTGTTCATCAATCCTTGTCTTTGCAGTGCCTACATAGACAAAGCCAGCGACATAGCCGAGCAGGTGATTTTGATAGACAGTCAGCTGAACTCCCCTGAAGGCCTGGCGATGGACTGGGTTCACAAGAACATCTACTGGACAGATTCGGGAAACAAAACCATCTCTGTGGCCACTGCTGATGGAAGCAAGAGGACAACACTTTTTAGCACTGACCTAAGCGAGCCCAGAGCCATTGCAGTTGATCCGACACGGGGGTAGGTGTGAAGATGGAGTTCTGCGTTATGGCATGTTCCAGTCTTGTTTTCACTCCTCTCATGAGCTCTCAGACTCTGGCTAGGACTGCTGACATGCTGAAAGTTAAAGCGCACACGTAAATCTTTGCAGCGCCGAGTCAAAAGCAGCTTTGAAATTACATCTCAGAAATTCTTTTGCACTGTTCATGTGTCAGATGGGGACGAGCTGGTCCAGTTTAAAGCAGGGTACGTGATTTGTGATGAAAACTGAGGTAGTCTGATGCACAGCTGAACGAGCACATGTTTTTAGTGCTGGATACAAAGGCCAAAGATCCAGCAGAAATTCCAAGAGCTATTTCACAGGTACTAAAGAATGTTTTTAAGCCCTGGTGTAACATAGTCCTGCAATACGTGCTCTTCACATTAGATCATACAGTAGGAACCCATCAGCTCCATTGCGCAGATGTTAAAATGGATTAGAATAACAAAGGCCTAAAACACTGAGTACAAAAGGGCACCACACCTTCTGATTTAAGAAACCTACTCAAATTATGCACACGCATCTCTTGGGGTAGGGTCAGCTCTGCATTTAGTGTGTTATTGACTTTTCCTTTCTGTGGCTCTTTCAGATACATGTACTGGTCTGATTGGGGAGACAAAGCTAAAATTGAAAAATCTGGCCTGAACGGTATGGATCGGCAAGTGCTGGTAACAGACAACATTGAGTGGCCGAATGGCATCACACTAGGTAAGTCGCAGAATCGGTAATAGATCAGTGCAAGTGATAAAGCTCCCTATGTCTGTGGCCTCTTTAAATTTATGTTTATTGTCATACAGGAATGGGAAAGACAACATAATCCTTGAAAATCCAGGCTGCTTTGATATGACAAGCATCTGTCATACACACAAGTGGCCAGCAAGTTCCCTCTAATTCACTGGGGTGGCTTGCCTCCCATAGTGCCCTCTCGTGGGACTTGGGTGGCATCTTACACGGTCCCAGGCTCCTGTGGGCAGGGCAGCTGTAAGTCTGGTGAGGCCAAACCCCACAATGCCTCTGGGCTTCAGTCATCCAGTTACTTCAGTTGTCAGAGGCTCCTAGGTCTTCTCCATAGCCTCCCTGGGCTGGGGAGACAGTGCTTACTCCCTCGTGGCTGCCTCAGCTGGCAGGCTAGTCACCCCTCTCCGGTAGGGAGGCAGCTAGCTCCTGCCTGTTCACCAGTCAGCCCCGAACTGAGCCAGACTCTCTCCTTTTCTCCCCCAAGAGGCCTGACATTAGCTGCAGATATAATGAGGTGGGACTAGCTGAACCCAAAGGTTCTCTTTAACCCCTGCTGTGACGGCAGGCAATTTTGTCCACTACCTCACAGGCTACTACTACTGTTACTAATTCATAATGTGACGGGTTGGATCACAGAAACCCCCTTGGGAGCTGCCACCTAATGTACCAAGACTACTTCTGCTCCTGTTTTCCCTGCCAGCTCAGGACTCCAGCACCCTGTCTTGCTGAGCCAGACACTCCCGTCTGCTCCAACACAGACCCAGGGTCTGAATTACTTGCCCCAAAGCTGCAGGTTTACCTGAAAACAGCTCACAGAACTATGCTTGTCTTTAGCACTCAGATGCCCAACTCCCAATGGGGTCTAAACCCAAATAAATCCGTTTTACCCTATAGAAAGCTTATACAGGGTAAACTCATAAATTTTTCGCCCTCTATAACACTGATAGAGAGATATGCACAGTTGATTGCTCCCCCAGGTATTAATACACACTCCGAGTTAATTACTAAGTAAAAAGTGATTTTATTAAATACAGAAAGTAGGATTTAAGTGGTTCCAAGTAGTAACAGACAGAACAAAGTAAGTCACCAAGCAAAATAAAATAAAATGCGCAAATCTATGTCTAATCAAACTAAATACAGATAATCTCACCCTTAGAGATGCTTCAGTAAGTTTTTTCCTCAGACTGGACACCTTCCTCAGACTGGGCACAATTCTTTCCCCTGGTACAGCTCTTGTTCCAGCTCAGGTGGTAGCTAGGGGATTCTCCATGATGGCTCCTCTCTCTCCTCTTTGTTCTGTTCCACCCCTTTATAAATCTTTTGCATAAGGCAGGAACCCTTTGTCCCTCTGGGTTTCCATCCCCCCCCACTGGAAAAGCACCAGGTTAAAGATGGATTCCAGTTCAGGTGACATGATCACATGTCACTGCAAGACTTCATTACTCACTTGCCAGCACACACATACACAGGAAGACTCACAGGTAAACACAGCCATCTGCAGACAATGGTCCTGGTTAATGGGAGCCATCAAGATTCCAAACCACCATTAACGGCCCACACTTTGCATAATTACAATAGACCCTCAGAGTTATATTTCATATTTCTAGTTTTAGATACAAGAGTGGTACATTTATACAAATAGGATGATCACACTCCGTAGATTATAAGGTTTGTAATGATACCTTACAAGAGACCTTTTGCATGAAGCATATTCCAGTTACATTATATTCACTTATTATCATGTTTTTATAAAACCATATAGACTGCACAACGTCACACATAACATTTGCCCTTGTTATTAATTAACCAACAAATTAATGCTTAGGATTTCAACCCAGAGCTTGAAATGATTGCTTTTATGAGTGGCAATCACCCCTTTGCATTGAGGTTAGTTGATCTCATCCAAAATTAGAATTTGTCCCAGGAAGAAAAGCTCAGTTCATGAAGTCCTACAGTGGCACGAGTCACCTTCTCCCACTTCTTCCCCGCTTGTCCGTGAAATGAAATATACTTGAATCTGAAACCTAGGAATGGCTTCGAGAAAGTGGGATTCCCCATCACTGGAAATGTTTAAATCAGGATTGGATGTTTTCCTAAGAGATGCTCTAGTTCAAACACAACTATTAGACTTGACGCAGGAATTAATTCATGGAAGTTCTATGGCCTGTATTATGCAGAAAGTCAGTCCAATTATCACACTTGTCCTTTCTGCCTTAAAATCTATGAATTTATGAAAAGGTGAAGTCACTCAGCATTGGAAACCACCATCATTATTAGCATTAATTGCACCTTCATCAGGAGTCTCAGCAAAAAGCCACAGATTAAGTGGTCTGGAGAATGAACTAGCCTCTCAGCCTTCGAAAAGATCCTTCAGGCAAATCCAGGCCTACACTACAGACCGATCTGGGTATAACTCCATTGCCATGGGGTTTGACAAATCCAGCCCCCTGACCGATGCAGTTATACTGACCAACCCCCACTGTCTCATGTCGATGGGAGAGCGGCTCCTGTTGATATAGCGACGGCCTCTCGGGGAGGTGGCTTAACTGCACTGATGGGAGAAGCTCTCCTGTCGGCATAGTAGCATCTTCACTAAAGTGCTACAGCGGCGCAGCTGCACCAGTGCCACTGTAGCGCTGTCTGTGAAGACAAGCCCAAATTTGAGGGACATTGCTGGGGTGGAGTTGAGAAGCCAGCAAGGCCGCTGGCCTGTTCTACTTGATCAGAGAGGGGACTACTTCACGAGCCGGGCTGTCAATCGAGCAGCTCTCACAAACACACAACAGCATGTTATTTAGGGGTGCCTGGGTCAGCGTATCTGGGCAGTGAACCAAAGTTTCAACCACCATAATAAATAAAAGGGATCAACAGCCCACGGAGAAGTAGCCACTCTGCCAACAGGAAAAATATTGGGCAATAGCAAAAAGTGCTGTAGTTGCATGTACAGTAATTCTGCCTGGTCACATTTCCTGTCTCAGATTTGCTGAATCAGCGTCTCTATTGGGTGGACTCCAAGCTGCACTTACTTTCAAGCATTGACTTCAATGGCGGCAATAGGAAAGTTCTCATCTCTTCTGCTGATGACCTGAGCCACCCTTTCGGAGTAGCTGTGTTTGAGGTAAGAATGGGTGCAGAGCTGGCTGGGGAGTGCAGGAAGCCACAGGATCTCTTTCTACACACCTCTTGCTTGAAAGTTGTGCCCTGTAAATGGCACAGGAAGCTCCTGGGCTGTGTCAGCTGCTGCAAAAAGCCATTAATCCGGTGCGAGTTCAGCAAGGAGTATTCCCCAAGAGCGGCAATCAGTCAAATGCCACTATGTAATGCATTACTTGTGTAGTGGGGAGGAGCACCCTGCCTAAACCGGCATCGCCTGCACAGCTGACGTGGGCTAATGGCACAATTAGATTTTAGTCACGTTAACTGCTTGTGTAATGGCCAAATCACCGGCAGGAGAAAACACAGGCAGGTTGCTATGATTATTGTCAGGCCATATGGGTGTTTCACTAACTAAAGGCCTGATGCTGCTGAGTGAGCATCTCCTGTGAGATAAGACTTCAGTAGGAGCTTCACAGGAGGTGCTAAAGCCTCCTGTTAGGATCAAGCCCCTTGAACACGGGGCATCCCCTCATCTGGGTGCATGGCAGGGATTTATGTGCCCGCTTCGGATGGCTTTGAATGTGACACTGCAGCTTGCTCTGAACACTTCTTACAACTCATCTGCAGTGTGATTTCCTGGCTTTGCATTTTCCCAGACCCATGCCGCATGTGCTCCCTTCCTCAGCCTGGCAGATTGCTAATTGTTTGCGCAGTCATTATATGCTACTGCTTGACAGTCTGCAACAAGGATCAGTGTTCCCAGATAGAAATCTGTACAAGCCCTTTGGGAGCTGGCGGTGATGTTAGTGGGGAGCCTCTCTGCCTGGGAAGAACTGAGAACCCAGTGCACTTGTCTGATGGCAGGATTTAACCCCAGGAAAGTGTCGTTTACTTATCCAATTTAAACATAAACCCAGACATTTCTCTTCCTTTCAAGCTGAGTTGGCCGTGCTCTGGTGCACAGCCCTGACAGCTGAAGGATGCACACTCTACTTGCCACAAAATTAAGAGCTTGATCCTGTAGGCACATACTGCCCCGGTGTGCTTATTGGCATGCATAGCCTTGCTGATTTTAGTGGGACTGTGCATTAAATTAAGCACGACATCAACAGTGTTTGCAGAACTTTTACAGTGTTTGTTAACCAAGAATATGCTGTATACCCCCTTCCTCCATCTGAATCTTTTCTCAAGATAAAGGAAAATCTCTGAACTAGCTCCTGAGAACCCACCCTTCCCCCTCCAGCTATGTATTTCATCTTATTAAAAGACGTTGCAAGTGCTACCTTTTCATCTGTCGGCCAGGTCACCTTCCTATAACTAAATCCATCTCAGTAGTCTTCAATTCCCACATACCTACTGTGTCCTGTTATATTGTGGTATTTAGGTATCTCTCAATCTGCAGTAATCATTAGAAAGTGCCACTTGCTTCTAAAGATTTTACTGCAGGAGATAGAAGTGGGTCTTTTGGATGCTCCCTCTTTAGTGTTTATCCATTGCTGCAGCGTTAGAGTCTTTAAGAATACAAGTGGTTTTGCCCTACAGAGATACCTGCTCAACTGAGGTCACATCTTTGGAAAGGGAAGGAAGATCAGCATTTACTGGCACTTTCACTGTGGTGCAGGGATCAGAGATTTCTAACAAATTCCTTCCAATCCTATTCAAAATCCACGCCCATTGGAGTCCGAAACTCTTCTTTCACTAAACATAATGGACATGGCCTCTTTGTATCCAGGCCTGCTCGGAGTGTTCTCCCCTCCCACCCAGCCCCAAAGCTACTCTAAGGAACTAAGCATTTTTTGCCCATCTGTAAATGCTGCTCTCCAGATCTGTTACCACCTCCTGACACTGAGCCCAGGTCTACCCCGGGGGGGAGGGGGGAGGGGGGGGAGAGGGCCGACCTGAGATACTCAACTTCAGCTATGTGAATAGCATAGCTGAAGTCGGCGTATCTTAGGTCGACTTACCTGGACGTGAGGACGGCGGCGAGTTGACCGCTGCCGCTCTCCCTCTCGCGAGCTGGAGTTCCGGAGTCGACGGGGAGCGCGATCAGGGATCGATTTTTATCACGTCTACACTAGACCCGATAAATCAACTCCTGATGGATTGGCGGGTAGTGAAGACCTGCCCTGAGACACTTGCATCTTTGTGTTGCAAAGCCAAAAGTAGCATCACATCATGATCCAGCAGCACCACAAAATGACAAGGTTATCTCAGTCTCAGTAGACGTCTCTAGATTGTTTAGTATGCGATTCTGCAAACTGCTGAGTGCCACTGTCTCCAGCTGGAGTAGAGGACACGCCAATAACATACTGCAAAATTAGCACCTGTCTGTTTTGCATGTACTTAAAATGCCTCTGATTAATGTGCAAAAGAAGCTGAGATGTAGGCAGCCTTGCCCCAAATGGCCTTCGGGGCTGCCAGAGAGCCATCATCGAACACTTCATGGGGTTTGCATTTATCCAAATCAAAATGCCTGTGTGTGTTCTGCAGGATAAGGTGTTCTGGACTGACCTGGAGAACGAGGCAATCTTCAGTGCAAACAGATTGAATGGCCTGGACATCTCCATTTTAGCAGAGAATCTCAATAACCCTCATGATATTGTGGTCTTTCACGAGCTAAAGCAGCCAAAAGGTAAGGCATGCCCTCAGTTCTCCCATAATCCAAACACCATTCATTCATTTGGGTCGGTAAATAAAATGCCTCCCAATTGTCTTGGATGGAGTGGTAAGGCAGATGCTGCTAATATAAAATGAATGCCTGATGTTTGAAATTCCTGCATAGTTAATTCAGTGGGCGCTTTTATTGAAAAGCCTGCAATTTGTTTATAGTAATTTAATTAGCAGCTTTCCTTTTGAAGTCTAGTCTTAGAGCAATCAGAGCAGCCTGTTGCCTGCTGTTCATTTTAGGTGACACTTTTTGGCAGTGTCACTCAGATAAAATTGGAAAGAACGCTAAACAAAGTAACTTGCTAATAGTTTTCTTAGCAGGAAGAAAATGGCAGGGAGATAGATAGCTTTGAGATTGTGGGTATTATGAGACAACAGCTGTGAAATGGCACCACCTTACTCAGTAGATATGCTCCCCCTATGTATTCTGGGTCAGATAGGCTCAGTGAGAAGAATGATTGTCCTACCTGTTACTGGTGCTAGTACTGAAAAGCCTGCACAACTAAGAGAGGAGCTGGACTCTTTCCTGGTTCAGCATAATCAGCACAAAATTCTAATTGAAGAGTTTTTATTATTGACGATCATCAACAAACTTGACATTCAAATCCCAGCTTTACTGTGTGGAGCTGGCAGGTAGAAAAACCATGATTTGCTTGTAAATTGAATATATTTGAACTATAGTATTGGGTAGTAAACAAGAAACCCCACGACATTTTGAAGCTTTCATCTGAAGATCTCATAATGCTTTAAAAACACCTGAGAGGTAAGAGTTATTAAGCAGCCAAGTAAATTGAGGCAGAGGGTGAAGCAAAAAATTTTAAAGTCTGCCCAGCATGAGACAGTGAGGGCCTGATGTTCAGAAATGCTGAGTGTCCATAGCTCTCAGTGACTCCACTCAAGGTACGATTCCTCATCGTCACTGAAAAGCAGGATTTAAGTCTCTTGAGTTAGATGGCCAGAATTAGAGGATGCTTTGAAAACAATGGCTTAAGTGACTTAGTCAGTCAGTGGAATAACAAAGAATAGAACCCAGGCGTCCTGCCTCTCCATCCCCTGCTGCAACCATCAAAGCAAAGCAAAACTGTTGCATGTAGTATATGAAAGTGGGAGCGCACAATGGTGAGGCCACTGCTACTTTCCTGCATACAAATGGAAGAGCTCTAGAAGATGGAAAACTCCTAGGGGTTCTGAGTTAGAATAGAATCTCATTCGGGAGACGGGTCTCTTTGCTATGAACAAAGATAAATTGATGAGCATGGTTTGAAACAATACATTTGTTTTTCCCCCTCCCCACCTTGAACAGCTCCAGATTCCTGTGAGCTCAGCTCCCAACCCAATGGAGGCTGTGAATACCTGTGTCTTCCCGCACCCCAAATCTCTCTCCATTCCCCCAAGTATACGTGTGCCTGTCCTGACAACATGTGGCTGGGCCCTGATATGAAGAAATGCTACAAAGGTAAAAGCAACCACCTTAATGCAGGGACCTCTCTCTTAGCCTGGTGTTGCTCGGCACAAGCTCCTTCGAGCCACACCAATTGTACCCCACCCTTCCACAAAATTAACTTACATCAGTGAAATTTCCCCCTCTCACAACAGTGCATGAACCATTAGCTACGGTAGTCTGTGCGCTTGGGACCTTTTTGCACATAGCTTGATATTTTGGTTGGTCTGGAGTGTCTCTTTATTGAGAATTTGTTTATTCACAAAGAGTAATCAGAAAAGCTGAATGCATGAAGGGGAACAAAGAATTAGTTCCTGATCCAAATCCCATTGATCTCAATGGAAAGACTCCCATTGAATTCAGTGGGCTTTGGATCAGGTGCTAAACATGTGAATGGTTTGAAATCATGGTGGTGATGTTGGTCAATAAAATCATTCATTAACACCGCCCCATGAGGCGTGAGTGGCGTAGATTGTATATTTAGGAAAATATTAGGCCACATTCATCTTTAGCGAACTCTAGTCTCTTCATGGGAGTTACTAGAGGTGAATTTTACCTAATATTTCCAATATGGTGCAAGTTCTGAATTTTGGGGGCCCACACCCAAAAAAGTATGATAAAGACTTTGAACTTCTTTATGTCACCTTCCATCCACAGCACTTCATAGATATTAGTGAATTAAGCATCATTACACCACTGTGAACTTTGTAAATTATTTTATTTCCATCTTGCACATGGGCAAACAGAGGTATAGCAAGGCAACGGGCCACATAACAAATCAGGACTAGAAACCAGACTCCTATGCTAACCGTTATCAAATCTGGAAAGGAGTGCTGCCTATCACCATGTGAGATCTGCTTTGCAGACTTGTTTAACCAGATTTCAGTCATTGTTTTGTTTTAACTATATGGGATTGCTTTTCAGATCTTCCAGCTGCCTCAACAACTGAGCCAGTTTCAACCATCACCACTACTATGATTTCCACCATCAACGCAGCTACAACTAGCAACACCAGCAATGCCAGTAGAGAGAGCTCAGGAACTGTATCACAATTCTCCATCACAACCCCAGGTGTTGGCTTACCCACAACTACATCCAGCCTAATAGGCACAAAGATCATGACACCTGGAAATAGCAATTTATCCCAGCACTGTAAGAGATTCAGGTTCCTACTTCTTTACTTTCTGCCAGGTACAAGAGTATCACAAAGATCCATGGGCTAGTAGGAGAGCTGGCAGGTCAGATGTGCTGTATGCATGTCAGACACAGGCATGCATAGATGGGCAGAATTATGATAATAGAAAAGTGATCCCAGTTTCTCTGAACTCTTTGGTTCCAGGTTGTCGTGTCTGATTCCCTGGGATTCAGTCTTACACGCACAGCATTTAAGGTTTCTATTTCTCAAAGAAAGTTGCATTTGTTTTGCTCAGCACAATGCTCTGAAAGTTCATGTAGCCCTGCTCTGAAATACCTCTGACAAAGTTTTGCATTAAAATGAGTATCTCCATGGCCTGATGTCCACATCACAAAAAATACTCCCAGCAGATGGCACTAACTGGCTTCTTTATTGTCAGCCTCTACAGAGGCTATGTACTGAATAAGCCATGAGGGATTTAACTACCTTCCCATTCTTGGTGGTGATCCCCATAGGTCAGGGTTGCAACACATTCGCAGGGCAATGCAGGGAAGCTGAACTGCTTTTCCATAACCTTGCTGGTCTACAGAGAGGCAGATTTCCACCTCCAACATAGCCCCTTTCGCTGGTAATTGATTAAAAACAATAAGACAGAAGACCTTTGGCTTTTCAAACACTACACTGAGCAAAAGAGGCATCATTTCCATTGCATCTGCAAAGCACTAAATCATGCATCCCTGTTCTCATCGGCAAGACAGGACACATGATACTTGATGCTAAGCAGTGCGCAGTGCTCTTGAGAAAGCAGAATCAATCTCCCAAATTCGTTCTCATCATTCTTACCTATGTAAATCTCCTTCCAAACCCCAAACAAAAATAATTAGATTCAGTGTTTATTAAAATATTTCTAACAAGGACAATTATGGTACCTATCTCATTAACTGGTAAAATGTCTATTTAATAGAGTTAACTGCCAAGGGGATTCATTTAAAAGGATAAACTACCTTTTACATTATTTTCCATGCATTGGTGTCTCAGTAGATGAAGTATTTAGCCTTTTCTCTAATTAGTCCTGATTTGTCAGCGTAAATACAGTATATTGCTGAGTTCAGTGCTAATCCCGTTAAGATTGCAAAACACACATTTTGCAGAATGAGACATTAACATGTATTGGTTTGCTCTTATAAGTATGACATTCCGTCGAATTTTGAGGCAACCTCCAGGTTCAACTTAGCTATTGCACATGGCATTCTTTGGTGTAGTCACAGCCACAGGAGGATCATTCAAATGCATTATGTACCACAAAGTTCTTTTCCTGATAGAGCAATAGCTTGGTGGCTGTGTTGCTATCAGAGGGAGCTGTGCTGCACAAGATGAAGGGTCAGCTACTCTCCTTGATAAAGACAGAGACTTTCCATTACGGGCCAGATTTTTACAAACTCACCTCCCTTTTTGTGTCCAAACATTAAGAACAGAAGAAAGAACTGGCATATTGTATCAGCCCAATGGTCCATCTACCTCAGTATACTGTAATCAGACAGTGGCTGGTGCCAGATGCGTCAGAAGGGAGGAACAGAACAGGGCAATTATTGAGTGATCCAGTCCCAGCTTCGGACTGTTGGAGGTTTAGGGACACCTAGAGCATGGGGTTGCATCCTTGACCATCTTGACCAATAGCCATTCATGGACCCATCCTCCATGCACTTACCTAATTCTTTTTTGAACCCAGTTATACTTTTGGCCTTTACAACATCTCCTGGCCATGAGTTCCACAGATTGACTGTGCATTACATGAAGAAGTATTTCCTAATGTTTGTTTTAAACCTGCTGCCTATTAATTTCACTGGGGTTCTCGTGTTATGTGAAGGGGTAAATAACACTTTATTCCCCTTCTCCACAGCATACATGATTTTTATATACCTCTATCATATTCCCCATTAGCTGAGCAGACCCAGTCTTTTTAATCTCTCCTCAGAGGTGTGAAACAGCTTCCATATAATAATTTTTGTTGTCCTTCTCTGTACTTTTTCCAATGCTAATGTATCTTTTTGAGATGGGGTGACCAGAACTGCATGCAGTAGTCAAGGTGTGAGTGTACCATGGTGGACAGGTAATTAGATATATGCACACAGAGCCAGGAGAAACAACACTATGAGCCGTACACATGGAGAACCAGTTTTGAACCACTGGACCATTACACATGAGATTTTTCAATACCTAGAACCAGTCATAGGTTGCACTCTATCCCTACTACCAGGACCTTACACTAACAAACAGGCATTTGAAGTGCTGTATTTTTTAGAGTTGTTTGGGATTTGGTGGGCTAGCTCTCCCCGAAGCTGGTCCTTCTCAGACCGGAAGGCTCATTGTCTGAGAGAGACCCCTGCTCTGAGCATATGTTTCTTTATCAGCTCTTCTTAAAGCTAGCCCCAGTGTGCTCTGACTTCAGAAGACTCAGCTCTGGTACCTAACCACAGTCTCTACATTCCCTGGCCAGCAGGAGCCTAGGTGTGCTGTAGAGGCATCTCATTCAGCCCTATAATGGGGAGGGAGTACCTAGTTTCACCTAATAGTTGAGCTAATTAAGGGACAGCATGAAGAGGTTTAGAAGGGAGTTGGTCACACATCACGTTGTGCTTTTCTGTGGCCATATTCAGCAGTCAACTGTGCCCCCTTCTGTAAAGCCCTGTCACTGTACATGGATATGGACAGTTCTTCCGAAAGGGCAGGCCCCTTAGCAACTCTAGCCCTCATTTTGCTTATTTTGGGGTCTCATTTCGTTTGAGGTCCCAGTCTGTGTGTCCTACTGTGGCAGTTGACATCTGGGGTTAGCAAGCTAAAAGCCTCCACATTTCAAAGTTGTTTATTATTATTTAGGAGTGAATCTGTGTGTTGTGGCACAGCCATATAGCAGGGCGCAAGAGATGAAAGAATTAGGAAAGAAAGATGGCAAGCTGCCAGCTCAGGATTATTTATTTTATGATTTGGTGTCTTGTTTAAAGATGATTAATTATCAAATATAAGCACACAATAGATATTATTTATAGACCACCTACCTTTAAATTTAACCACATTTTAAAACCTAGCTTTTTAAAAAAAATTTAGCTATCATTATAATTCTGGTCCATCTTTAGTGCCGTTTGATTAATCAGACCTGTTCTTTTATGGTTACAGATGCCAATGATGGGCAAGGTTTTGGATCAACTGTTACAGCAGCCATTATTGGAATTGTAGTTCCTCTTGGTAAGCAAGTTTGATTTAAGCTTAGAATGAGCTTAACTTTTTGACAACTTTTTGTAAAAGACTTTTCTGGAGCACAAGGAACTACTGTATTGCAGGTCTGAAGGGTACAGGAGCAGAGGTCCACATGGAAACAAATTTGGGGTCCACATGGGACTATGTTTGCCTTCCCCAAGTAGCCGGATGACAGCTTTTTCTCTTCTTTTCTTCAGTGGTCATTGGTTTGCTGTGTATGGGAGGGTACCTCATCTGGAGGAACTGGAAAAGGAAGAACACTAAAAGCATGAACTTTGATAACCCTGTGTACAGGAAGACAACAGAAGAAGAGGATGAAGAGGAAATCCATATTGGGAGGACTGCACAAATTGGGCATGTCTACCCAGCAGTAAGTATCTCTGAGCAAGCTCCCAAAGGAAAAGATTTTTCTTGTTAAGAAGGTTTGGCTACAGAATTATCTCAGCTGATCTTGAGGTTGGTTACAGTTACTTGGCATCAGACAGTACATTAAATGAGGGGTTTGTCAGATTTTTGCCTGTTCGATTACTCTTAGACTTGTATGTGGATCCTGTTACCATATCTTTGGAACATACAGTAGGAATTTACTATCTGAGATTAGATCAATGGTCCATTTAGTCAGGTACCCTGTCTCCAGTGGCACTGGTGCTTAAATCCCTGCCAGGCACCCCGCTGAGAAATTCATGTCTCTCAGGTATTTATAACATGCCCATCATTGTAGTGGTGAGCGCTAATAACATGCAAGAAAAATGAACAGGCCGTCCTATATACGAGGTTTTCAAAACAGGGACAATGACTGCTGCTAAATGTTAGGCTGTACCTTGATGGGGAGGGTTTTTCTCCTGACCCCAGCTTGCAGGTGGTCTTATGCCTTACTCTTTTCCACCCACTGCTTTTTCCTGCCAACAACAAAGTCCAGTTTGTGTTTGCTAGGGGGAACACAGTATTTTTCTAATTATATAATTAGACATAAACCACTAAAGAGTGAAATGCCCTGCAGTGAAGAGTGACTGAGATTCCATAGGGAGTCAAGGAAAGTTGCTGTAGCAAGATGAGGCATAGAGATGGGATGGAGGAGTAATGCTTTGCTCCACAGGTTCTGCTGTAACTGCATAATGGGACTTGCTGATGGAGGCACCAGAACCCCTGCAGAGTGGTTTCTTCAGGGAAGTGTCCCTTCAAGAAACAGGCAGCTTGGATGAATAATAACTGAGTTGTGAAGGAAAGGACAAAGAGAAGGGAGTAAAAGCAGTGCAGGTGTGAGGAAGGGCACTGTCTTAATATCGCTGAATGAGTAATAATAATAGCAATCCTTGCGCTGCTGTCATTCCTCCCATCCAAGGATTTTAATGTGCGTCACAGACATCGGTGACTTGGCCTCCCACCACATCTGTAATGCATGGGAGTAATGCTTATCCCCATTTGGGGGAAGGGGAATTGGAGGCATGAAGGACCAAGTACTAATAAGTACTACTCAGTGTAGGTGTTACTCCATTGAAATCAGTGGGATTTGGGGAGGGGGGGGGGAGAAGAGGATTCATGAGTAAGGTATCAGGTCCAAAGAGATCAAATGATTCTCTGTCACTCAAGCATTTACCAATATTGTGTTTTCCTTCCTCCACAGCGTGTAGCATTGAGCCTGGAAGATGATGGGTTACCATGAGGACCAAGTCGCTGCTCTAGTCCCATACAATGGAATAATATGCACTGAACAGATTCACTTTGGATCATGGAACACCCCCCGCCCTTTTCTTCCCCCTAATTAATTACTATTTATGTTGCAGAAGGGTAACCACAAAGTTATAATGAACTGCAAACATCCAAAGGATGTGAGAGTTTTGTATGTATAATCTTTTATACACGTTTTAACTTGTTGCACTACCCATACGTGATAGTGAAGAGGCTACTGCTGAGCTACTAACCCAGTATCCATAACCTGCCGGGTTCAATAGCTATGCGTCATTTTAAAACTATATTTATAGCGGTTTTGTAAATAGGTTGAACATGCTTTGTGGCTATCCATCAACATAAGTAAAAAAATGCTATACAAGCAGTTTAGAATATTTATTAACAAAATTGGGATATAAGATTTGTTCTGTAAAGAGGGGTGAGAGTATTTATTTTTTGTATGTTTGGCTTGCTGTGCATATATCTATCTAGGCTAGATAGATATATAGACATATAAATATATACATATATATACATATAAATATATTTTAAAACTACTAGCCCAAGTCTATGGGAATTAGGAGGGATTGAATTCTTAAGGAATGTTTATGGAAAATTTGCTTTGAAGTCTAAAGCCATTGGAGTAAGAAACAGCTGTACAATAGGATAATCAATGATTCTGTAAAATGAATGAAGCACTCCCGTAATGAATTTCTGCTGTCAAAATGGTTTACTTTGTATTTCAAGCCCAGACAAATGTACTGGCCAGGACTCAGGCACTAGCACACTTGATTTCCTTTTTTAAAAAAAATCTTTACATCAAAAATGTCTTCATACAGTAACTTTTCTTCACTTCATGTAATTCACACAGAAGAAACTCCTATTAGGTTTCAACATGGCTTTATGTCATGTCTGTCTCCATGGGGGTTATTTGGTGTAGGATTTTTTAAGAAAACCTAAATCTGTCATTTTTTTCTCCTCCATGGGAATCTTGTTTACAGCTTATAAAAAGTGATTATTTTCTCTGTCTGGTAGTCCCTGGAGATAGCTCATCACAAAATCTTTCCTTAATCCTTTTATTGCTGTGCTGCTACCGATTGTTAACACTGTTAAAATGAATGAAGTGTTAGGAAGCACAGAGATGCAGTCCAACTTGCCATACCTGGAATTCACAGCAGGTATATTCCAAGTGGATGTAGCTGGAACATCCAGCACCGTAGCAGTGCATTCACCACAGCAGGTTGTCCGTGGAATGTGGATCAATAGGTAAGGGGTTAAAGAAAAAAATGTCAGCAGACTGCCCTCGAATATACAGCTCTTGGTAGGATGGCTGAAAAGGTAATTGGGAAAAAACCCAAAACAACCCAATCCTGACAACAGGTCCGCAAACTGTGGTGCGTGCCCCTCTAAGGGGGGTGTGACAGAGCCCACGCCAGCACCCACAGGAGACAGAGAGGGAACGCCATCAAGCTCCACTCCTGGCCCCACTTCCAGCCCCCAACTGCGCTCCTGGGGGAGGGTGCAGACCATTGGGGGGGCGGGGGGGGGGGAGAGTTTGGGGACCACTGCCTTACAATCCCACCTGTTCCTAAAGCTGAGCAACTATGGGACTCTCATACCAGTCCTAGATGATCTGGCACCCCGAGGCTATTCTCTACAATGGGAACAATGGTGGATGTGATGGACATCATTGTCCCTGGCAGGATATTATGACACTAACACATAAGTGTCACGATTTCTATAGCATTAGAAAGAGTCAAGGAAATCTTACATTCTACTTATTTATTTATTGGCAGTGCGTGTTACACCCCACTCTAGTGAATAGTTCAGTGTTACTTTGCTAATTCTGTGACTTCATGGTGTTCTGGTAGGGGGAAAATGCGGAGTGACATCTCTCATGCCCTGCGAGGTTTCCCTATTCCCACATAACGAACATCTTGCTTCCTTCTATCACCCAATCATCATCAGGTAGCAGGAGAGGTGAAAATAATGAGTGTTTAACCTCTCAGTTTCAGGCAGGACCACATTTTCTCCCCCCCTTACTGGCTGGGCCACAGCATCAACTCTTCAACAGAAGCAGCCCTTTCTCCTAAGCCAGGCCTGGCCCAAGTTGCACCAGTAGCCTCCAGCTAGGGTAAGGAACCAGGCCCTCTCCAAGCAGCAATTCCCACCCAAACTGTCTAGTAGAGGGCACTGAGTGGTGCAAAGCACTCTCTTCCCCATCATCACTGTTCGTCATGGAAAACATTGCCTTGACTAGTATCAGGGGGTAGCATTCCTGCACTACTTCCTGCTCCTGGGAACGAAATTCATATTCTCCCACTTGGCACAGGTCCTCTCTTCTCATGCTAGTCAGATGAAAAAGTTCAAGTGATTTATTCTCTTTGGGCAGTTTTCTGAAGTCACCATCCCATAGCTGCCGTGTAGCATACAGCATAAATTTCCAGTGATGTCTCATTTCAATATCCATATGCTCCAACTCCCAGACACCTCTCCTGCTGTGTATGAAGGATTCAGTTCTGTTTGTTAGATACAGAGCACCCACTGTTCCAAGGGAACGATTAAAAAAAACCTATTAGAATCAATGGAAGACTTTTCCATTGGCTTTAAATCAGGCCCTAACTGAGTTTAGTGGAAGAGGAGGGGGCTCAACCTCTGACAAGAGGTATTCAGCACCTCTGTGGATTGGGTCCTAAATCTGAAACTGTGCAATAGGGTGTAGAGTAACCTGTGTTGCGTTTATACATGAATCACAGCTTATGGAAGACCAAAACAAAATCTGAAGATGGGTGTTGGGTGGGGCGGAGGGAATCACACAGTTTAATGTGGGATTAAAGTTTTGGTACAGGAGTGAAGTGTAGGAAGAAAATGCTACACTATGCATCATGGAAACACTATATACCACAAACTATTTGTACAAAGGAACTATGAAGTTAAACCTCAGTTCTAAAAATCTAAAGGAGGCGGCTTGATTACTTAAAGATCATTGAGGGAGGTGGAGAAATGTGATTCTCAGATTTCCAATTATTATTTTAATCTGCAAAGTTCTTCTACTACAAGTCCATGCACTGTGTGCATGAAGGAAAGAACAAAAACTGAGCTGTACATGTGTGTGATAACACTAACAGCAAACTGTAAATATGTTTGAAGGCTCTAAATTTTGATACTTTTTTTAAAAAATAAAATAAAAAACTGTACAAATGTGTGTATAAAAAGCAGCATTTTTTTCAAACCATTTTAAATTAATTTGATGTCCAGTGCTGGTTTCAAACTTTACAGATTTGTAACTAATCAAAAGAAGTCAGCCACCAAATGTGTTTTTTAAATAAATTATTTTAAATAAACAATGTCCTAACAATCCCAACTGTTAACACTGTAACCAGTTCTGATCTCTGTCTTGTCATAATGAAGTTCTGTTAGAATGAATTCTTGCTTGGTGCCTTTTGTGTTTCAGTTTTCATTTTATGGACAAAAGAACTGCTGGAGGGGGGGAGAATATGGTCTGTATATCTTTTGCTGTACTTACATAAAAAGGAGTACTGAAAACCAAATGAATTCATTTGTAAAACAGTGCACTGTTTCTATAGAGAGATTAAATTTTTTTATCTGGGACTTCTGATCTGTTCTGTTATTTTACAGTACATCAGTGGTTTTCTCCACAGTCTATTTCTAAGTGGTCAGTGAAGGTTGTCATTACCACAGAACAGTAGTTTTCAACCTGTGGTCTGTGGACCCCTGGAGATCCGTAGACTATATGTCTAAGATTTCCAAAGAGGTCTACCCCTCCATTTGAAATTTTTAGGGGTCTGCAAATGAAAAAAGGTTGAAAACCACTGCAATACATACATGAAAAGTTGTTATTAAGAACTGCAGCTCTTAGACCTGATGCCAAAATATCAGGATCTTATGCAAATATCAGACTCTTCTGAATGAGACACACACATCCAGCTAGTCTCAAGGAATGGGTCAGCTCTTAATTGCCTATAGCCAAATCAGGACATAGCAGTGTTGCTCTACATCCTAGCTGTTTAAGAATTCTCTCTTCTCTTTATGGTCCCAGTCAGTCTGTATTTAACATCCTCCAGTTCTTCCAGTCTACAACTTTGCAGCCCCAACCCTGGATGCTATATAACCTTTATATGCAAATGAAGGGATACTCAATGGGCAATTCTGACTATTGTCAAGTCCTCTTTCTCTACTCATACTGTTTGTCACCTTCAAATTGCACAGAAAATGCTGCTTGTTTTAGTTATGCTTACATTATGTAAAGTTTTATATAGGTGACAGAACTAAAATCCATATCATTTGAGGTTAATATAACCAAGACAGCCTGCTGCACACAAATATATTAACGTTTACCATTACAAAAAACTACATTTTGTCCCATTCTGTAAAATTGTGTTGCTTTTGGGAGGCATATGGTGCATTTGCTTGCCATACTGTAGAAGCGTTATTGCTTTTAATCTAAGCCATTTAAAGAGTGCCCAGATATTCCAACAATGGATGTCTTATAATACTCATCATTATATTAATAATAGCTTCACAAACCCAAAACAAAATTACAGCCCAGCATCTACTGACATGGAGACATACACATAAGAACCAAACTTCAAAAATAACTGTTACACTATCTTTGGTAATCTTGGATCATATCTTATGTATGGTTTGGAAGACCAAATGGCAATCTACTACTATTCTCCCCATTACATACCAAGCCTGGATCAACCAGAAACAGGCTAAAATCTGTAACACTCACTGCTATTCATGAATTTTGAAAGCATCACAGCTCTGCCAAGTTTAACTACAGGTAACTAATACATGACTGGTTAAGTAAGGAGGAAAAAATCCCCAAAATTGTACAAGATTAAAGTCAACAGAATGTACCAGAGTGACCAGATGCACTTCCTGAGATGCAGGAGATTCTTATGTCCTATAAGAGCTCCCCAAATCCTACCCACTAATCCAAACTTTGACTTTATCTGGTGCTCTCGGTAGCAACAGGGAAGTGGGCAGGATTTGTCTCCAATTGATTAGGAAACTTTGCCTCAGTGGGAAGAGACCCTCCTAACATAGAGCCAAGTGTCATAAGACCTCCCTTTAAGTCTTTTCTCTACAGTCACCTTTGTTCTTTGGAGGAAGTTTATCTACTTGATTTTTACATAAAGTGGCCATTAAATACCAGTGACCACGTCAAATGATTATGATTTACCTCTTGTTAGAACTGAGAAAATTTAAATTGCCATCAGGTCAAGATTCTGCTTCCAGAGGTTTTTTTCAGTGTCCTGAAAAGTTTGCAGAACAAAATGAAGTGTGTAAGGGTTGCAGATAAATGGAACAAACAATCCTACAACATGCCATTTGAACAGTGTGGTAACAAGACAATTTTAAGTACCAAATTCATGAAAGGTCATTTTTATTCATTAAAAAATGTACAATATTTGTAATCTTATTTCCTTAAAGAGAACACTGTCAAATAGTTTAGGCTTTTGATTAGCCTGTTATTTTTATATTGAAATATATTCAGAAAAAATAGTTATTACCAAATCTAATAACCTAACCTGAAAACACAAAATCATCTCTGATCAAGTTTGCAGATAACACCAAAACTGGGGGAGTTGTAAATAATGAAGAAAACAAGTCACAGATACAGAGCCATCTGGCCTACAATAAGCTGGGTGCAAACAATACGCATTTTAACACAGCTAAATGTAAACGTATACATCTAGGAACAAAGAATGTTGGTCGTACTTACCTGATGGAGGACTCTATCCTGGAAAGCAGTGACTCTGAAAAAGATTTGGGTATTGTGATAATCAGCTGAATATGAGCTCTCAGTGTGGCTCTGTGGCCAAAAGGGCTCATGCAATTTTTGGATGTATAAAGGGGTTTTTCTTGAGTAGTAGAGAGGTTATTTTACCTCTGTATTTGGGATTGGTGCAACCACTGCTGGAATGCTGCCTCCAGTTTTGGTATCCACAGTTCAAGAAAAATGTTGATAAATTGGAGAGGGTTCAGAGAAGAGCAGTGAGAATGTTTAAGGGTTAGAAAACATGCCTTATAGCGATAAGCTAAATGGATTGAGCTCCTTGAGTCTAACAAAGAGAAGGTTAAGGGTTAACTTGATTACAATCTATAAGTACCTACATGGAAAACAAATATTTAAAATGGGCTCTTCAAACTAGCTGGGAAAGGTATAACACAATCCAATGGTTGGAAGTTGAAGTTAGAGAAATTCAGACTAGAGATAAGGTGTACATTTTTAACAATGAGCATAATTAACCATTGGAACAACTTCAAAGGTTGTGGTGGATTCGCCATCACTGACCATTTTTAAATCAAGACTGGATGTTTTTCTAAAAGATATACTCCTTTGGGGAAGTTCTGTGGTCTGTGCTATACAGGAGGCCAAACCAGATGATCACAATGCCCCTTTCAGCCTTGGAATCTGTGAACAAATCTAAACAGAACAGAAAAATACCTTTCCCTTGCTGGTAGAAAATACTGCACTACAAGAATATGGTGGTGCATAAGAAAAGTTACACTGACAATGAAAAAAAAGTTATAAAGAGTAGTCTGTATAGAAAAGTCTGTACAATCTGTGGAGAGAAATGCAAAAAGTGAAACAAATAGCAAAAAATGACAAATAAGGGAAACAGAATTCCCAGCACATCAGAGTCCCAATCCTGGTAGAAGTTTTCAGGCATTCCCACTATATTTATAATTTTTCATTCCTGGTAACTTTAGGTAGTATTAGCTACGTTATCAAGAATTTTTTTAAAATATATATATTCTAACGTCACTTTTTACACATTTTATCTTAGATGGCTCATGGGACAATTTAAAATACATCTGTGTGGTAACACTGAGTTCTCTAGTTTCATTAAGACACAGTACCTCTATGTTTTTATATAAATTCTTCAGCATCTGCAATGACTGTACATCAATGGATTGTGGGTGGATTGCTGCCCTCTTCTGGATGGAGTATGTATCAGCGCCTTGTACTGACTCAGCTCGCCATTAGATCACTGGGCAGGGGAACAATGTCTTTTGAACAAAAGTCTTAAATTTCCTTCCTAATCCACATCCGATTCCTATCTAGTGACTAGGGAGAATGTGCCTCCATGGCCATGAACTGTTAGAAACTTCTCGTTACAGGGTGAAATTCACCCCTGTGCAGAGACTCACCCAAGGTCTAGGCACAAGGTCCTACTTGAGAACTTAACTGGTGCATATGTTTTGTGAGGGGTTCTCCACACGGGGGTGAATTTCGCCCACAATAACTAGTCTTCCTGGCTAGTTGAAAGCATTAGTAATTCAACTATTAACCTTAAAGACAGCAAAAAACAACCAACCAACCAACAACACAGGAGTCAACAGTGATCATTAGAAAGGAACTGTAGGAGGAGAAACATGAGAAAACATGGAAATCTCTGCTGTAGACTACAAAATATCAACTAAAAGTTGTATACCACAAAATATCAATTAAAAGTTCTACACCAAGACCCCAATTCTACAATCCACATGGCAGACCTTTGGACCACCCACTGACATCAAACCCTTTTGCAATGCGTTGCCTTAGGAACACTGATTTACATTCCAGGCCTGGTGGTCACCTGTCTTGGGCCGGTGGGAGCTGAGTAAACCATGGAGGGATGGACAGTCTCCTCCTATCTGTATTGCTGCTGCTTTGCACAGGAACCCCAATCATAATCAGGGCCCCCCATACTAAATGATCAAACAAGTAAATATAAATAATTGAACTGTTGCTTTTAGTTTCATTATAGCAATTATGATTGAATATAATCTCTGGCCAGCCAGTAAACATTCAGAAACAGAAAAAAAAAGTCCCACCCATTTCTCCAGAAGGGAGGGGTACTGATTGAAGGATTAAGATTTAAGGGTTTGGATTAAAAATTGGTGGCAGCATCCGCCAGAAGAAACCAAGAGGCTATAGACGGAGGAATGTCCTGAGATCTGGATCTTACATGGGGTAATGGCTAGCCAGGTATCAAGTGAGAGTTGGAGAATACTGAAATTTGATTAGAAACGAACAAAAAAACTTTAACATGGCTTAATGTATCAATTCACACTCACTGTACACAGCAGTGAAAGAGCATTCTCTCTGTGCTTCACAGCGCCAGCTATTTACAAAGGGCACCTTAAACCTATAGTTGGGGCGGGGGGGAAGAACTGAAAATACTGTAACATTTTAAGAGCTGTTAAGGCAACAATATTTATACTGAGCTAGGAGTTAGAGTAATTTAAGGAAGCAAATATCCTTGGTAATTTGACAGGACAAATGGCAACATTTAATCAGTTATATTGCTGGATCATACATGATCGGGGAAAGGAGGGAGCTAAAATGTTTTCCCTAACTCCAGGTTGGTTCAGTACTTCCACATCCTTGTCTAAGGACCACAGGTTTATGTGGAGCTATACAACTTACATTTACAGCTTCCCTATACGACGGGGAAGAAACACCTCTAGGGATGAACTGATAGTCTATTTCACGACTCATTCAGTCTCTGGCCTTTGCTGAAAGTGTGCCCAACAAAGAGACAATTAGTGCCAGCTAAGTGAAAAATCTCTGACCCTATACATTTTTCTCATATAATCCAGAGCTCTCTTGAAACTGTTGGTACTTCCGGGTATAATTTTGGTCTAAACACTGAACCTGATCTGAATGGTGAGTTCAGTGTTGATAAGAAAATGAACAGCAGGAGGAAGGCTAATGTGTTTATTTAAAGGATAGTGAGTTTTGATGGTAGCGAGTTTCTTACAATAAAAAGGTTAGGTGGAGTGTGAAAATTGTTGTAGTCAACTGTACAATGAGACAATTGGATGACAATCTGCATTAGAGCTAACATTCAGTCTATTTATGAGCTGTTAGCAATGGCTGTCATATGTCCCCTGCCTTTAACAGCCTGACCTCCTGAATTGTCTGCACATTACTTCTGCATCATTAATTTGTCATGTTTGCTGTTTATTAGCCTCTCTGGTTTTGCTAATCCCACAGATGGCATGAAATCAGATAAGTCATTCTATCATTTCGAAACTAGAAAATAAAGCTGTAACCATGATTTAAATGCTTAGGGCCTGTTTCTTTGCTGCCTGGCACATTGTGTAGTCTCCCCTATGCAAAGTGGATGTAGAATGCTACCATTCTGATCTGTAGCATTTTACACCTACTTTGCAATCCCTTTGCACAGATAAAAATTATTTCACAAGGTGCCATTATGATCCCTTTATGCTGCTCTCATAGCATAATGGAGGCCAAAAAAACCCCTGGGAATTGCTCCAGCAGCGCAGATGGTCCTATGCTGCCCTCCTGTGCAGCCACTGGTGCCAGGATGTGTTGGGTACGTGGCTAGTGCAAGAGTGGATGGAGGCTATTCTGGACTGTGAGACGGCCCACTGGTTAAAAAGCTGTTTGAAGGCAAGTTTTAAGTATGGAAATTTGCTGATATGGTGCAGTATCTCTTTAAGGCTCTTACAAGTACCTTTGCAGAGTAATGAAAAGTTCAAAGAGATCTCTGAAATAGTGTGTCTAAAATATAAAGACTAGATTATTAATGTTTTAAGTTTACATAGCATGTTGTCTTGAATACAATAAGAAGGCAATAAAAAAAAAGGGAGGGAAAATGACTTGAAGTATGTTAAGAATGGGGACAGGAGTTATACTTTCCATTAATGACTGTTAAAAATAAATTTGTTTCAGATTTCAGAGAAGGAGTGGGAGAGAGCAAAGTGGATGTACAATGCTACAAAGCTTCATTAAAATAAGGGAAGAACTCATCTACCGCTGCTGACAATACAAATTCATTTAGTGAGGCTAAATGATTCACAGTGTTGTCAAACTGAAAATTACTTAAACTACACTTAAATGCAGGGGAAAACAATTATAATTTATTTTAATATCTTGTGGTAAGGGAGGAGGTTAAGCATTAATGTGAAATTTCTAATGTCCCTGATGTAACTGGTATTCTTCATATAGGAGGAAGGGGGTAAGAATGTGAGTTGATATATTTCACCAAGTAAGGACTGTTGAACATCTGAGTCGCCTTCTTGTTTACCAAATCCAACCACCTGAAAATTCAAAGGCCAGAGGGTTACCAAGAAGACAGTAAAAGTTTGGATGCTTAAAATCTAGGGTAAGAGTGGGTCATTTTAAGCATATTTTAGCTAAACATTAAGTTTCAATCTGGACTCCATGGACACTCAATAACTACAGCAGTACAGACCAAATTAAGGGTATGTCTACACTGCAATCAGAGGTATGACCGCAGCCCATGTAGACATACCTGAGCTAACGTTGATCTAGCTAGCTCAAACCACAAGAGCAGTAAAGCCACAGCAGCATGGGCTAGCTGATAGCCACTCAAGTATATCCCCAGGGTTCTAGGTGGGTTTGTACAGCCTGTGCTGCCAGTGCTTCACTATTATTGTTATTCACACTAGCTAGAGAACAAAACTAGCTCCAGTATGTCTACACTTTGCTGCAGTCACACCTCCGATTCCAGTGTAGATATATCCATAGGCTTTTACTTCTTTCTGCAACTTTCAGAGTTAAGTAATTTATTCCTAATACTATGAAAACTTTATATAGACAAAATTAAGATTTATTCCTCTCCTCTGACATGGGTTTAAAGCAGTAACAAGAGTTCAGATATTAATAGCTATAGGAAATGATATTTTCAATTTTATCATTTAATTAGTTTTTTAAAAGTGAAGGTTGTTCATTCTGCTAGGGTGCTTCAAAGTGCTGCAAAGATGACTTACATAAGCCTCTTCACAGGAGTCTATTTTAAAAGAAGTTAGTCATAGAATGTGGGAAAGAAGAAAAGGACAGGCCCTAGAAATTAAATAAGGAAGTTACTGTTAACTCAATGGTGTGAAGCAATCTCATCTAACATCACGATGATTCCAAACATACTCACATGTATACTGAGTGCTTTCCTCTCTTTGCCTCTATGAGCTTGGAACCAGTCAACTAGGTCTGACTTAGTTAGTGATCGTAGTGCTTCAACCTAAAACCCACAAGAGTACACTTTTCAAATGTCCAAATTTCAGACACATCTTTTAAAAGCAACCTAATTCCCAACAGTTGAACAGTATTTTGAACGTTTCTACTAGTCTTCTGCCATTATCCTCCAGTTCCATCCCAGAACAAATACTTGTAGCAAAATTTTAAATCCTGAAAGCAGCAGTTAGTGACAGAAACACTTGCTGATGCTTATGAAATGGAATTGCTAGAAGTTTCTATGAATTCTGAAAATCCGGTTCAAGTTGTAACTACTATTCATCTTGACACACTTAAAACAAAGATTTCTTTATACAGATCTCTCCAGGTCACCATGCATTCAGACCTTGAGGTACTGACTCCACCCTCTAGGGCTCCATATTAATTCCTAATACTAGGTCACTATAAATTGGTGCTTAAGTATTGACAAGATGTTAAACTTTCTATTCAAGAAGCAATATTCAGTACTGATGTAACCCTGGCCCCAGTAAAGTCAGAGAGAGTTTACCATTGACTTTCACTGAGCCAGAATTTCACTCTATATTTCAAATATAAGTATCTAGTGAGACATAGTAAGACAATAACATTGGTTGACATTTAAGTTTCATTCACTACCTCATGGGCAAGTCTGTCAAAAAGATACTGCTGAGTCATTATTTCATTCCAATTTCTATCCACCTCTTCTCCAAGATAGGAATCTTCACATTCTTTAATATGTATTAGAGCACTGACCTGTAAAAGCACACTGATTATTATTCCTCTTACACAGAAGCCACCATATCGGGAAAGGGGTGGGATTCTGCTTCAACAGGGTTTAGCTAGGCTCAGGCTGCTGTGTATTGAATGATTCAAAGCAAAGGTTGAACTTGTGTTAAATGCAACTGTTGGCCTCTAAGGTTGCTTTTGAGTACTGAATTACTAATAGTCGTAGCATCCATTGAACAAGGCTGCATGTGTCCCCTGAGCTCATCTGGAGCCTTTCAGAAAAACAGGAGTCCCATCCCGGAAGGGGAAGAGTCCAAAACCAAAAAAGGAAAAAAATCAAAGTACCCTGTCCAGTGCCAATTTCAAAAAATGCTACTGTGCGCTGCAGCCAATGCCTGGAAGCATGACCAAGGAGCAGCTCCAGCACCAGTATCTGATCGCTTCCACTTTCTCTCTCTCCAAAGAGCTTGCATGTTCTGTTTTTAACAATATGGGAAGATCAGAGCCATTCTTATGAGGCTGTGTTTGGGCTGCTTTTCCACTTTTACCTGAGTCCTGAATGCTTTTTCAGTTAAAAGCCTCATTTTCCCCTCAAAGTACAAAAGAAATTCTTCTATTTTCTTGTCAACAAATTCAGAGCTGAAAGGAATAAGGGAAATATTAGGAACCATATGAATAACATTGGCAGAACTTAATAAATAAGTGGGGGGAAATCAATAGTTTTAAATCTGGAGGTTCAGGAGCTAAGAACATGCTTTGCTGTTTGCACAAGTGAGTCCTTCATTATCCTAAGGAGAAACTAAACAAGAAGGGAAGAGGAAAAATGCGATTTTTGAGAGGCACAGGTGGTCCATAGAACATGACCTGTTTGCTAAGGAGCATACAAAGGAAAGACATTATCAGTTTCAATTTGTAACCTTTCCCTGTCCTAAGAAATAAGATAACTTGACAAATAAAGCTAGCCAGTCCTTTCATATAAGACCACTAAAGATTTATGTGCAGGAAGCCAATACTACTTCTACTTCTTTTAATTCCTGACTGGTAATGGCATGGCAGAAATTTTGCTAGCAAGTAGTCCTAAGCCATAGAGAAAGCATGAGCCTGGGGTCCCAGACACAAGCTAAAGGACTGTAGGGAAGCAGGTGTGATATAGGTGTGACAGCTGTTTAAACAAGTGTTTCCCAACTGCTATGTCCATTGGGCTGATATTTCCAAGGAAAAAACATGCAGCAATTTGGAGGGGTGCAGAGACAAAGAAAAGAAGGCTGTATATTATTATTGTTTCCAGATTGCTTCTGTTTTTGTTAAAAATTAAAGATTAGCAATAAATCTATTTAAAATCAGTGATAAGACGTTGAATCAAACCAGTTTATCGTGAACTCTGAGTTTAAGATAAAACAGCATTTGAAAGGTCATTCACTTAGCTCTTTGAAAACTGAGATGGGTTTTACTGGCCTATGAAAAGTAAGTCAAATATCATTTAATATACAGTAGTCTAATGGTCTTGTGTGTCATAAAACATTAGAAATGCTGTGCCGTGTGACACTGAAATAGAGACAAGGAGGAGTTTTCGCAAAAGTGATGATCTTGAAAAGTGAGCGTGGGGAAGCAGTGTGCCAAGCCCCCTCACGAGCAAACACCTTGCAGTGCACTTTAGTAATTACTACTGACCACCCACCAGGATTTCAAAGGGAGAGTCTCCACAATGCCCCTAGGGACTAGGTGTCGACGAAAAGGGAACCCTGACCTTTCCCCCTCCATCTGAGCTCTTTGTAGCATTAGAGCCTAAGATTAAAACTGTATGTGGGAAGTATGAGTCATGGCTGTAATTACACAGAATCTACTAAAGAAGTGCATTCTATGGAGCTAACTTAATACCACACATGCATATAGCTTCAGAGAGAAGGCATGCAAGAGTCATCTTTGAAGCACCCTAGCAGAATGGACAATAAAAATCAAAGGTGAAATAAACCCAGCAAGAAAATTAAAATGCTTCACTCAGTTCAGTGGTAAATGAAGTTGGAGGCAGTATAAGCACATCATTGTTGCCTTAAATAGAACACAATGTGTGGCATGACGAAGACCACTGGTTGATCAGAGTCACACATGCTCAAAATTTTCACCATTAATCACTGATTTCTTAAAACTTCAGTAAATTCTCTATCAAATAAAGTCGATATGTTAAAACAATACATATGTCATGAGGCTCATAGGGGCATTTTACGCACTGGAAAATAAGAAGTCACCTAACTTAAATGACAAGGAGTCTGGTGGCACCTTAAAGACTAACAGCTTTATTTGGGCATAAGCTTTCGTGGGTAAAAACCTCACTTCTTCAGATGCATAGAGTGAAAGTTACAGATGCAGGCATTATATACTGACACATGGAGAGAAGGGAGTTACTTCACAAGTGGAGAACCAGTGTTGACAGGGCCAATTCAATCAGGGTGGATGTAGTCCACTCCCAGTAATAGATGAGGAGGTGTCAATTCCAGGAGAGGAAAAGCTGCTTCTGTAATGAGCCAGCCACTCCCAGTCCCTATTCAAGCCCAGATTAATGGTGTTAAATTTGCAAATGAATTTTACCATTTTTAACTTAAATGGTGAGTCTGTGGTGTGATACTTGTAATATGGACATCAGACTCTGCTCCTAAACAGACTGGCAAATGGGAAGAAGAATCCAGGACCAGCTCTATTGTGTGAGAGCCATGAGGACACTTTTCAGTACAGGCAAACTGTATTACACAGTTCAGCCACTAGATGGTGCAATGGACAGACTGGAAGTAACATTTTGCAAGATTTTACTTTGCAACCAAACTCCACAAGGAAACTGGAAACATACAGACATGCTCTTTAATTTATGCTATGGAGAAGCATATCTTTAAAGATTTTACATTTACTGAAGACAGTCACAGAAATGACTATGAAAGGGTTCTGTCTATCTTTGATGCATACTTTATACCTCAGAGAAATGTGATTTATGAAAGCGCATGTTTACACCAAAAAATTCAACAACCAGAAGAATCTGTTGAATCTTTTATCACAGCTTTACTTGCATTGACAGAAAACTGTTTTTGAGACTGTAAAACATGAAAATATTGGAGATAGATTAGTTACAGAGCTTGCAGATAAAAATCTTTCACAGCAGCTAAAATTAAAAACAGATTTAACCCTACACAGAGCTATTCAAATAGCAAACTAGTCTGAGATGGTGAAACAGCAAAACCAAGAGCAATTCACCAAACTTGAAAAGCAAGAAATAGCTTAGGAGCTGTAAAAGATGCAGCATAACTGCTGAAAGTAATTATCATAAGACCCCTGAGAATAAAATGGACAAATTCCAGGCTAGCTACAAAGCCTTTCAGCCTAAATGCAGGAGATGTGGAAAAATTCATAGCCCAAGACATATATGTACAGCCAAAGGCGCAAGATATAATAAATGCACAAAATACAGACATTTTGCAGCTCTTTGCTGCACCAAAGCAGTCAGGGAGTTGACCCATATTACAAACAGACAATCAAGCGTCACTGTTTCTGGGATCTATCTCATATGATCACACAGAGCCTGCCTGGAGAGTGAAACTGAATATTCATGGAAAGACTATTGACTTTAAAACTGACTCAGAAGCAGATGTGACAGTCATAACAGAAGGGACTTACCATAGACTTCAACCCCTCTCAGAGCTGAAATCATCTGAGATCAACAGAGCAAACTTTACACATGGCAGATGCAGAAAAAGAAGATGATGACTCAAAGACTCCAAACTGACCAAAGACAGTAATTGCAATTAATGGACAGCCAGATGACCAAGTTGTTACACATCTGGGTTGTGTAATTAGAAAACCCATACAATTCAGAAACACTTAACAAAATTATATGTACTGAATTATTAAATTAAAGACAGCATGATAGTGTACATTTTGTAAAATTGTAGGAATGTAAAACTTAAAGAGGGAGATGTAATGGAATGCTAAACTGTATTTACTGTTACCCATTAGGTGGAGCCATGTATAACATATCTTATCTGCACATACAACAGCTCTAACTGGCGGTGCATTAAAGATATCTTAAAGAGAACAAATCTCCTGTATCTCTCTCTGGGATGGAAGCTCTGTAACCAGTCCAAGACAGATTGCCACAAGACAGATCTCAGTGCTAAAGTACTGTGGAAAAACGTCAGGGGTCCTGAAATATTACTTGGCTATATGCTTACAAGGTGGTAGACAGCTACTACTTTAGCTGAGATCTGCAAAGGTTAGCTCTGAAAAGCCACAGAAGGCCAAAGGCCCCTGAGATGGAAACACTAACATGCAGTTTAACCATTCTTTTAAATTATTAAGAGTAATAAATTCAGTTTAAGGACAGAAGGGACCACCAGAGCATCTAGTCTAACCTCCAGTATGTCAAAGGACACCAACATCACCCAGCCACACCACACTAACCCCAATAACTGGAAGTAAAGCAAAGAATTACAGCCCTCCGGAGATTAAACTATTGTAAGCCCCAGGCAGAGAACAGGAGGAGGAACTGAGGTACACCAATGCCCGAGGCCTTGGAATTGATTAAATGAGATATACCCAGAAAAAACTCACTTGTTCTTGGTTGCTTGTGTGGTTACGGTAACAGAGAACCCAAGAATCCCAGATGTATTTCTACATGTAGGGTACACATGGTAGCTTAAACCAAAAGGAGAAAAAAAAAGTTCACAAGAACAAGTCACTTTACATTTACCATCCACAACTACTAAATTAGAATATTGTCAATACATAGATCTAAGGTTTTAGCAATGAGGCAGCTATCAATTCAAGATTCCCTCTGAAACAACAAATATCCAATCTCTTGAATCAAGTGGCCTTGGACTTTTCTTGTTCAGCAAACAAGCTAAGGTGAGTACTCGTGTTCTGAGAAATCCTGCACTCCAGAGCTGTGAAATTACAAGAACCCTTATAGTAAAAGCTAGGATTCTGTCATGGGTATTTTTAGTAAAAGTCAGGGACAGCATGTGGGCAATAAACAAAAATTCATGGAAGCCCGTGACCTCTCCCTTCCCTGACTTTTACTAAAAATATCCGGGGTGGGGGAGGACTAACAATCAAGCACTGCCAAGGGGCTGACCTCAGACAGTTGCTCCAGCCTCAGGAGGGCTGACCCAACCCCAGCTGCTGCTTCAGCCCTGGGGACTGCTGCTCTGGCAGTCAGCCCACTGGCCAGCTGCTCTGGAAGCCCCAAGGCTGATCGCCAGCCATTGCTCCGGTGGCCCAGGGACTGACCTCCAGCAATGGCTCCAACCCCGCCACTGCTCCAGCCCCAAGGGGCTGGCCCAACCCCGGCCACTCCTTCAGCCCTGGGGCTGACAGGTGCTCCAGCCCTGCCATAGCGGAAGAAGTCCCAGCGGTCCCAGAAAGTCATAGAATCCGTGATCTCCATGACAGAATCATACCATTACCCATAGTCCAGGTACTGTGCAGTCAGGGTTATTGGAGCCTCTTAGTTCACAGTAAAGAGCCTAAGTAGAAGGGGTTGTAGCTGCAGTTGTGACAGGAGTTAATTCAAGCTCAGCAATCCCCACCCTTTACATACGTGGTCCTGGGAAAGCTACAGTGGTAGCTACTTGGAAGACAGAGTGAAGGCATGTTACTTTTGAGGAAGTCTAGCTCCACTGCCAGAGTCAGTGCTGAACACCAAGCTAGAGAGATAGTTTTCTGCTTAGTCAAATTATGTTACCATCTGGTTATGGACTCTAACCTGGAGGACAAGACCTTGCTGACAGTTATTTTTTCTGATGAGTAACTTGACCAGTTTAGAGTAGCTTTACTGCACATAACCTTGCCATTTTTATATGGCACCAAAGAAATTGCTGGTTTGGGCTTTATGATGTTATACTGTACTTTCCGCCACACTGTGCCAGGAGTTAGTTATCATGCAGTAGGGAGTTTCCATAGTAACAAAGTACACAGGACTTACCATATATGATAAAGCAGTTGAACAGGAACTGTACGCAATGCAGTGAACTTACCCAAGGGTTTGCTTGGTTCGCAGAAAGTTGAAGCAAGGCTCCTCCATGTGCATCTGAATACAGCATGAGTTCAGTCAGAAGACATTCCTACTTACAGCAACAGATATCCCACAATGGCTGCTTTCGCTCAGACTCAGTACCAAAGAATGATCAAAACAAGAAACAATGGAAAGCCTAAACCACAATGAATCCCCTCACCCCAGAAAGGAATTAGCATGGAGTAAAACTATAACCATGTAACCGAATTACAAGATATCCTGCTATTCAGGAAGTTTGATAGGAAGAAAGTTTACTTCACTGAGTTCATGAGTGAAACCGCTCATTGGGTTTTCCTGACATTATGCTTCAAACACCTATACCCATAGGGGAAATAAAAGGCTAATTCGAGTGGGTCACATGTATCATTAAGATCTGTAGTCTCATCTTGACACCAGCCATTGTTTACATGGCAGACGCTATCATATATAGGACACAGGTGCTCCTTCTATGGGCACGCATTAATAAACACTCAAGCATTATTAGGAAAGGAACAAAACTTACCACAAGCAGCTCCATAAGGGTGTATTCTCTTAAACTCCTAGCCCCAGACTAAAAGAACAAAAACACTCATTGAAAACAGTTTAGAGGTTTCTCATGGAGCTAAGAGCTATGGTTCAAGTAACTAGAGGGGCCTTTTTAAGAGAGAGAGAAAGAGAGAGAGAACCAGTCAGAGTGGATTTCACCATTAAGTACATTGCAATTTGCAATAAAAAAAGCAATCTGAGACTTTCTGGCCTCCAATGTGTCCTCAAAGTAGCCCTCTGAGTGGAAGACAAGGGCTGCTCATGGCAAAGGGACCAGAATGGGTAAAAAGACAATCTTGAGGTAATCAAAGAATAGGGGGCATCAACAGGCACCATCTGGGGGAGAAAAGGTGAGGAAGAAAGGCAATATCAGGATGGAAGTGGATGGAACATGTCTGCATAAGGCATAATAGATCTAGAACTTTCACACACAAAATAATACAGACTATAACTTCATTAAGGGTTTTTAGCAACTTGGGCCTTGTTCATGTGTTTATGGGATCACTAGAATTCAAGACATATTCTTAAAATAATGGTTGGAGAATTGTTATGCTGATGGCTTTCCTAATCCAGACGGCATAACAAGTAGCAGCAGTCATCACAAGGAAAATAAATGAGTATACTCAAATGCTTAACACATTACCTGATAATAGACTGTCACTTCAGAGTTGGCATCACCTCTGTTAAGGGTTTTCACCTTGCAGAGTAGGTGTGTGTTTGGCAGGTCTACCACCCGAAATTGAACAGGACATGGGTGTAGCAAGGGAAGGAACTGCAGGTTTCTGAAGGGAGTCCAAACAGCAAAGTGTCAAACACTTGCCCATTCCTTAACCCAAAACAAAGAACCATAATCTTCATAATCTAGATACCTCAATACTCAAAACAGCTTCAATCCCCTCCCCCTTCCACAACAAATCTAAAATCACATCCTACTTGAACCACCATCAGATCCGAACACCAAAACCAGAAGATTTCCAGAAAATAGGGACAATATAGTTACTACATTTCTTTTTAAAAAATGGAAATTCCAATTGTTTACAACATTCTTCTCCACACCACAAAGGAAAAGAAAATGTTAACCAAGACTTATAACTTTGTAATATAATTATAGCTCGCAAGGGTGAAAGGTGAAAGAACCAAAGAGAGATACTCACAGAACAACATAATTCAGAAAATCCTTTGATTCCTAGGAGATAAAACATAAACATAGCTTTATTTAGAAGAATGGGATTATTAGCCCTTTAAGCATCAGCTCCAATACATTCTACACCCATCCAGAAAGGGGCCAGCAAATATAGAACTGTCCAGTCCTCCCCAGCCTTGCCACATAGTACAGCATTTTGGCGGGAGGCTAGCCCAGCACCAAGTCTCTCCCTTCCCCTACAAGGTGACAGCATGATCTCATCTATATTATGCTGTGGGAAGAAAGAGACATCTCCAATCCAGTCTCTTGCTTGGGAGTTTGTAGCCTCTCAACAAGGCCAACGTGGAAGCCAAGAAAGAAGAAAGGGAATGAGAGAAATGACTTACAGAGTCTGCTGAGACGCTAAGCTGCAAGGGATATGCACAAAAGGAGTCAGGGGGAATCTGCGAAGGAGCAGCTTGGGCCCCTGCTGAGCAGGGCTGGCTCTAGGATTTTTGCCGCCCCAAGCAGAAACAATTTTGGCCGCCCCCCACACCCGTTTTTTTCTTACCCCACCCCCGGCCCCGCCTCAGCTCCGCCCCTTCCCCAAATCCCCAGCCCTGCCTCCTCCCCCCAGGCTCTCAAGCCTAGGAGGGAGGGGGAGAAGCGGCGCGCGCTGCGGCCACTCGGAGTCTCCCCCTCCCTCCCAGGCTCTCAAACCTGGGAGGGAGGGCGAGCAGCGGCATGCGAATCAGCTGTTTCGCGCGCCGTGGCGCGCAAGCGGCAGCAGCGGAGGTGAGCTAGGGCGGCCGGGGCACATTTTTAGGGGCGGCATTCTGGCGCCGGCCATGCCGCCCCTAAAAATGTGCCGCCCCAAGCACCAGCTTGTTTTGCTGGTGCCTAGAGCCGGCACTGCTGCTGAGGCAGTGCCAACAAACAAGAGAAAAACAGCAGTTTATGGTAAGTGCTGCAGGACCTCACTGTGCAACTGCAGGGCATCCAGGGTCCTGAGATTTATTTAATTCACAAACTACAGCACTTAGTGCAAGACATCTCAAAGACTCCATAATACCCATAGCTAAACCTCAATTTCTCCTAAAAGCCAATGCCCATGTTTGTCATTACAAGAATCCCCACTCCCACCAATTTAGTGGTGTATTTCTCAAAAGGCTTGACAATCCAAGGACAAACGTTACCGATCAAGGAAAAACTGATAAACACAAAGTGAAGACAGCAAGTGGGTTCATGCCCCATACTCACTGACTACACAACAATGTTTGTGACACTGTATCAATGGGGCCAAACCCTGTTATATCCATGTTTTAAAAAGTCAGTTAGACTAGGTCAGACCTATGGCTGGATCCAGCAGTCACCAGGAAAAAGCCTTCACTGACTTCAATAGGAGTTTTGTGTGAGTAAAGATAACAGAATTGGACCCTAGCGAGGCTTAATATGGTTTGACCTTGCTACATAGGCTGTATCTACATTGGTAGTTGTAGGGAAGTTTTCCCCAGTTGTACCAGCACCTGGGGAGCTCCACTGGTAACAAACACTGGGCGCACAAGTACGAACAGGCTTTGGCCTTTTTTACCACCACAGAGTTTAAAAATTACTGAACATATTTAAACAACATGGGGGGAAAATCGTCAGTGGCCAGTCTACATTTGATGTCCCACAGTGTTAACAGCAGGAGCGGCGCCAGGGTTTTTGCCGCCCTAGGCGGCAGGGCTCCTCCTCTGAGCATTCGGCGGCGGGGGTCCTTCCGCTCCGCGTCTTTGGGGCACTTCGGCGGCAAGTCCCGGAGCGAGTGAAGGACCTGCCGCCGAATTTCCGCCGAGGGCGGCAAAATGCCACCCCCCAAATCCTGCCACCCTAGGCGACCGCCGGCCCTGGTTAACAGGGTGAGTTGCACTGGTGTGAAATACCCCTAAAACTGCTAGTGCAAGCAAAGTTATACACTGGCAAACCAGTGTTATAAATGGGGTTTGTGGCAATTGTGTTTCAACAACTTCTAAAAGTGGTGGTTTGACCAGTTAATATAGACTTCAGGCTTCAGCTGCTGAGAATAGTACTCACTCTGCTTGTGAAGTTTCCTTGCACTAGCCCCTCCACATATAGATGTGATTTGAAGCCCTTAACAAAGGATGAGAGCGACTCAGTGTAAAGGCCCTTCATTAATCTCCTGTATCTATCTATCATAGACCACTTGCCATGCTCCAAAATTAAAGAACGCACATCTCTGTAACAAACAACAAAAAAGAATAGTTTTAATTGTCAATTCAGAATGTGTTGCCCAATAGGGTCTTTAAATCCTGAACTTCTACCCAAGCTCTCTGACAAGCAAAATTTCAGCTAATCCTAACCAGAAATACCAAAGTACTGGTTAATCTGCCCTAGAGCTTCAGTCCTACCTCAGCTCCAAAATGTCTCTGGTAACCTGAGACCTCTGTGGCACAACTGCTTTGGAATGTCCCTGGGGGAAAGACTTAAATACTGGTTCCCAGGATAACAACTGTATACTGCTTTTGAATTTTGGCAGGGTGTGTCACAATGCAGATTGTTTTTCTTTTCTAGGCCACTTATTTAACTCTGTGGGCCTCTATTTCAGACTGCTAGTGTTTTACTCAGCCAGCTATAGGAACTCCACAAAGTGAGCTGTCATCAGAAGCAGAATTGCAGAGTAACACAGGCTGTTTAAACAATAGAACATATTAATAAAAACATCTGAAATTTTCATTCTATATATTTGAAAACTGAACAGGCAGAGGGTTAATTATAAGGTCCAACCAATAAGAGCTGAAGCCAGCCCTACACTCCCTTCCTCCCCCACCCTCCCCAGCATCTCCCAGCAATATCAAGCCCGGAGGAAACAGAAGTGAACCCAAATATGTTATGAGAGCTAATGTGATTCGTGGATGTATAAGCAGCAGAACAGCTACTAGGAGTAGGGAGGAGGTATGCACCATTGATAAGACCATTATTGGAATACTATGTCCAGTTCTGGTGTCCACACTTCAAAAAGGATGTTCAAAAATTGGAAAGGCAAAGCCAAAGGCAGTAGACAAGGAACTGAGGGGGCTGGGGAGGGGTTGGTTGCACGGTGCTATGTAACTGCCTGAGGCGGCGCAAGATGGGGACAGCGCATGTGCAACCCAACCAGGCACTGCTACCACAAATCTCCCATTACAAGTGCAGTGGCGCACAATTACCTAAAGTGGAGCACCCACAGGGACACTCCTAGGGTTACCATACGTCCGGTTTTTCCCGGACATGTCCGGCTTTTTGGTAATCAAACCCCCGTCCGGGGGGAATTGCCAAAAAGCCGAACATGTCCGGGAAAAATACCTGCCGGGCACTTCCCCTCCTGCGGCTGCTGTGCTCCTCCCCTGACTCTTCGGCTCTGTTTAAAGCCGAGCTGCCCGAGCGCTACTGGCTTCGGGCAGCCCCCTTGCCTCCGGACCCCAGCTGCCGGCCGGGCACTTCCCCTCCCGGGCTCCAGCTGCTGTGCTCCTCCCCTGACTCTTCAGCTCTGTTTAAGAGCCAAGCTGCCCGAGCGCTACCGGCTTCGGGCAG